TTGCTTGTGCCTCTCCAATTTAAAAAAAATGACTAAATTACAAGCTTCAAACCACATACACATTATCACCCGAGGAGAAAAGAATTGCGCGCCAAGCCAGGTGAGTCAGTTCCAATGACAAGAGTCACGGAAGTAACAAAAACAGATGCAAAGGAAGAGACTCCATCTAAACGTGAAAAGATTCCCTGGCAATCCCAAAAAAGTTGTTTTGAGTACAGAGAGCTGATAAAGAAGAAGGAATGACTGAAGAAGCACACAGATCACGTCACCAAAGACAGGAAAAAAAAAAAATAAAATCAGAGACTCTGGATAGGAAGGAACACAAACCTTGTATATTTGGGATTCAAAATGCCAGCAAATTCAGGCCCCTCTGCCTTGGTAAGCTGGAATCAGGCCAGACAATGTTCCCATTAGAAGCTGCCCTGGCTACTTCCTTCAGCAGTGAATCCAAAAAGGTGTTAGAGCAAGAATGACAAATATTTTCATAATGGAACAACTGTTCTGGGACAAGTGCAAAGCAGAACGCTGAACTCTAAGTGAGCCTAATTCACCACAACATAGGCAGAAATGAGAGTTTATACACATTTTATGAACAGGGCTATTTTATTCAATATGCATAAACAGCACATATCCTGTACACATACAAGATTAGCGAGGACCCCATATTGCAGACAACAAAAGAGAAGACGACATGTTGCAAAAGAAGATCCCTGCTCTTTCTCACAACGGGCTTCGGTATTTCTGACTCGCGCAGCTCTGTATGCACGTCCTCCTTATCCTCCATAGAAGTCCCAGTCTGGGCGAAGAGGCACTATGCCCTAGTGACTCCATAACCCTCAGCACTCTTAATTTCCCCCCTCCAGAACTATCATTTATTTCTGCTTATCATTTTAAATTACTTCAAATTCCTTTCATGACCTCTGGCTACCAAAAACTAGTCCTGGTCTGGTCCCAGTCTGTTAGGTGTCATATAAGTTTACTCAAATCTGTAATCTCTTTGACAAAAAACCATACAGTCTAATAAAACCTTTTACTCTGAGGATTAAAAAAAGTTTCATTATGTGAATTTAGTGCCCACAAGAAGAGTGCTATGCTGGTATCAGGTATGGGAAACTGCAAGATTTATCTACCAGAAAGAAGCAGCAGTACTGCTTAGATCATTTGTTCCAAGGAATACCAGGAAATTTCTGTGTACAAGTTCCCTGTCACAGTGCTTGTTCATACCGCTGTTTTGCTCTTTGCTAACTGGCACCTGAGAGTTAACTTGGTGATTTTACACATCTGCAAAAGAGCAAGCATGCTTGTGTTCAGGACTGGGACAAGATAATACAGATATCTGTACCTGAAATCCTTCTGATCACATAAAGGTTTCAGAAGACAACAAAAGATTTTTGAAACTTTTAAAATATCCCATAAAACCCATAAGACACTGGCAGAAAGACAGGCTTTTCGGGAAACCAATTACCTTATTCCCAGAAGTTAGGGCATGTCTGTTAGACCCATGCAAACTACTAGTTAGGAATAACATGCAAGCTCCTATTTCAATGCCTCAAACCTGCTGCTATTTTACTGTGAAAAACTACTCCCGCATTTTGTGTAGTCACCATGCCTACAAAAAGAAAGTCTCCTCAAAGTTCCAAAACTAAACATGGGTGCTAGAGCTTCAAGATCCTGTCTACAAAGCACGATGACCTGCAGCAGCCCACTCAGAAAAGTCAGCCACTGAGTATCTGTCACTTGAAAGCAATACCTATGCTGCACAGACAGATCAAAGCTGCAGCAAATGAATCCCAACCCTAAACTACGGGACAATCCTTCACAAGTAAAAGGACAGCTTATTTGCCATACCAAATGCAAATTCTGCCAATGACTTTTGCTCGGGCAAAGGAGGCAGCAGAGAATCATGTAAAATGAATAACTGTTCAAAAATATTCAGAAACCCATCTTTTCTTTCCTTTTTCCTCATGGATAATGGATGAGCCCTGAGGTGGCAGTGACTTTCAGCAACTACCAACTCAGACCTGGACTTGGATCAGTAACCTAATTACAACGTGCTTTTTGCTTCTTTCATGAGCTATTCAAGTATCTCAACAGAAACACAAAAAGCTTTGTGTGTGTCTGATTACCCCAAACCGTCAGTGGTTAATTCCAAAAGCGTATCCTCATTTAAAAATGGTAGTTCTACCACAAATTAAACTATTATAGCCATGAGTAAAATTAGGTTCCACATTTGTACTTTCTAAAATATCAAAGGCATGATTAGCAAAGTCTTTTGTTCAAGATCTCCAGAGTCCTTGAGGTAATGAAAACTGGGTCATGGAGTTTCTCTTGAAGTTTAAAGTAAATACTGTGTTCAAGCAATACTTGCTTCGGTGACTCACGGAGTATTCGGTCTAGAGAATGGAAATACTGTACCAACACACACACACCCCCCTACAGGAGTACCCCTGCCCTCACCAAAAAAGGAGGAAGGGAGGGGGAAAGAAAGGCATAGCAGATGACTCTGAACAGTTTCCTGTTACGATGCCTTGAAAGAAATCCAACTGTACTTTCACCCTGCTTTCTGTTTTCTGAATTTCTCCTGACAGTTGGCTCTTTCGTTTGCCAGAACCACAACAAAGGACGGCCTTGAGTTTCCACACAGGCCATTTTCTCCCTCTCTCGTCTCTGATCATCTCACAAAGGTATTATTGTTGCTGGCTCACTGGGGCTCAGTGCACCTGAGGCAGATCAAAGGCACTTTTTAATGCCCGCCTGACCACACAGGTCTCTCTCCCACTGCATTAAATTAAACTCGATGATTAATCTCTGTAGCCCTGAGGGTCCCTTGGTGCACAGGGAGAGAGAAAATATATATTTCTATCAAAACACAAGTATAATATACTTTCATTTTATAGCCCTAATTAAAAAAAGGAACAGCTAATTTCAGCCAAATGCAGCTGCATACAGGTCTCATTAAAACACAAATACAACTGCTCTGTGTGCTCTACATTCACTGCATGCAGACTATACAGGTAATAGATAAAAGAACAGTAAAACCAAAGTCCTTTCACAGATTAAATCCAGAGAAGTTTAGAATTTGCTTATTGTCTGCTGGCTAGAGATTGTTATACCTCTGAGCAGATGAGTGGAGGAATGCAGTTAAGGAAATGATTATAAAATGCTGAGTAGTTACATTTAAATAAAAATCTACTTAAATCTAGCCAAAAACTGCACAAGCATCTATTCCTGAGTTTGCATTCAAGTGATTAAGAGCCTTAAAAGGTTCTACCTTGTCTATGGCGTGCAGTCTGTGTACGACTTTGGGGTTGCTTTAATGACAGAACAGAACATTGATTAACATCAACATTGACTTTATCATGTCACTTTTGTTACTTTAGTGTGTGGAGCAACATCTTTCATGGTCATGGAGTATGCACACAAAAAGTGTTGTGAACATGGTTACACTGACATGCCATACTCTAGTTTGGGAAGCAAAACAAACTACAGTTGTGAACTGGGTCTACGTTAGAAACTACCAATATGCATATATTAAAAATTAATAAATAACTACACGCATGTCCTCCTCCAGGGCTCATTATACTAAAGGAATAAGTTAGAGCCAACTGGCCCATTTCCAGCTGCTCAACATTGCCCTCAGACCTTCTGGGGAAACTGTCTGCGAGCTGCTCAGCTCATTTCGGTCCAGTATTATGTCTCTTAACCCAACTAATTTTAACGATTTTAACTAACTCAGCTAAATGAAATAGGTTAGGAAGAGTTCACACAAACAGCTTCTTCAGAAGGGGCAGAAACCTCTGTCAAAAAAAAAAAAAAAGGAAATAATAAAAGTAGCATCAGGCTCAAAGGGTGACTTTTTTCCCCAGAGCCGGTATTTGCAGGGTGCCCTACCTACCCTGTCATAGACAAAGAGATACCAATGTAATTTTTCAGAGACAGAGTAAGCTAAGAGTGGTGGAGCTTGAGGTTTAAAAGTCTTGTTTAGGAAGGAATCCAAACATAATCCAGCTGGTCTACAGGATTTAAGCTTTTGTTAAATGCTCTGCTTCACAATACTGGGATTACTCACATCTTTAAATTCAATCATGTGCTTAAATGCTTTGCTGAACTACAATCCATGTGACAAGATCACCATTTATTCATGCTCAAGATCACCACGTATTCATGCTGTTACTAACAAGACAACTTAACTTACTGTTAAGCCTGACATTTTATTATCAGCTTGCTTTCTTTTTCCCTACTGGAACTCTCTCCATGAAGCATGTTAGTCCTCTCTAACACCTAAAGCACTCCCATTGCCATTTGCTCATTTTGGAAAAATCCAAGTTATAATCAGTCTAAATTTAAGACTGAAATTAGTTTTAAATAAAAAATGTGGCAGAAAAGGGTACTTATCTAAATGGAATGCTTTCAGACTCATACATTTTAAAAAGGTATAAATTTCAAAAGCAGACACTAAATTTTATTGCAATCTCAGAAAAAGCTTTTGTATTAATTCACTGAGAAAAATTAGCAAAGTGAAAATTGCTTATTGGGGTTTTCCTTTCTTTTTAGTCATGATACATACCATAATTCTATACATCACGACAACTTTCAGAGGTAGAAGGATTTATGTTGATTAAGTGAAGAGGTGGGGGAGAACGGCTGTGACTGAAGACATGCACTCCTCCAAAGACACTATCCTGTAACACATTAGTGACAGGCTTGTTACGGATAACTCAGGCTCAGAGTCTTTGGCTCAGATTTCAGGCTGCTCTTTAAGCCACTCTAGCATCGTGGGTTTTACTTTCCATGTCGTTTTTCAGTATTGATTTCTACTACTATTAAAGTTCTTGCTTAATAGCAAATGCATGGTAATATATAATTAATATCCAAAGGTAAAGATAGAGATAACAGAAAAAATTCAAGAAAAAAGAAAAGGGTGAGAAGGACAAAGGTCATTTTTCCCTTCAAAAACATTAGTATATTCTGTACAAATTAGGACTACACATACAACCTACCCCCATGTGGCATGAAGATGTTCCACAGATCATAGCAACTCGGGATGTAATTGGCTGGTTCTCACATGGCAGGTTGTGTCCCTTCACATCTGCTCCAATTACTCCTATTAAAGTAAAATTAAAATTCTATTTTAAAGAAGAGGAAGCCAACCCTCACAAAACAGAGCTTTTCCACAAATAATTGCTGAGTATCTCACACAACTGCCACAAATCACAAAAAGTCTGCTTAGTCAGTAAAAAAAGTTATTTTATCAAATCAGATTAAAATGTATTTTTATTCCAGATACATGAGGACACAAGATGATTTCTTCTATGTTCATGTTTAGCATTGTAATTTTTAAATGTTATTTTGACTATAACCTGACCTTTATTCTCTTAGGTAGTACACTAACATGCAGAATAAAAGACCGACCTGTTGTGCAGGGAAGTACAGTAGACTGCAGATATGTTTATTTGTTCACAGTTTATCATGTATGATGTGTTTTGTCAGGGGATGAGTTGGAGAAAGGGGTAACTTGGCAGGAGACTGGAAGGCTGCCAGTTTTGTTGTCTTGACTGCTGCTGCTGTTCTGTCCATGTCAGACAGAACCATCTACAGGCAGATTACTCCTTCCCTTAGAGGAACTGTGCTTGGCTCTGAGGAGCTTCTGCATGCAGGACAGGGCAGGATGGAGGACACTCTGCAAGCACTCAGCCTGCACCAGAAACATATACCCAGGAGATGTCAGAGAGGAGCAGGATCTTGCTTACAGAATGGGGCAGACCTACAGCCAAGCTTCAGGATGCATCACATCCTGCTTAATTCACTTAAGGGGAGCCTAAAGTGGAAATCCTGCCCTCTCCTCCTGTCTCCTAGGCTGCATTCTTGTATCACGTTGTGCTGCACCCAGCAAAATGCAGCAGTCCAACAAGTAATATTCTTTTGGTTTTTTTGTTGGTTTTGGTTTTTTTTTTCCCCTTGAGCATTACTTTTCAACTGGCAAACTGGCCACCAGACTGTGCATTGCATCTGCAACCCGCAGTCTGGTGACCAGTTTGCCAATCCTGCTAAAAAATAGCATCTTTTTCCTCACTGTATTAGGATCACGAAAGCATTGTCTGGACGCTGTGAAAGATGCCAAGTGTTACTGCCTGTTAGTATGCTACATTTCATTAACACCTTCTTGTTTAGGTCACCATTGCAAGATTCTGTCACCAAATCAGTCTATTGGGGCTTGTGTGTCGTGACTGCCACAGCTATCATGGTATTATAGTTGGAAGTTATCTAAATGATCAGAAAATTAAGGGCTAAAATTTTACAGCCTTCAAAAATGTGTCCTTATGTCCCTTTATCCTAGCTGGCTTGTAACTATGTACTAGCATAGCTGTCATACACAGAGTTTATTTGTAAGGAAGAACAGAAAGCTAAAAGTATGGCTTCTTCCTCGTATGCTTTATTTTTCACTGCTTAAACACAGACACGCATGAGTTCGTATTAAGAATTTTGGACAGGGTTGTCTGAAAGGCAATTTCCTGTACTAGGCAACACTGCATTAGAATTTTTTAAAGGAGTTAAAAATATTGTTCACACTTCAGAAGGAACAAATCTATTAAACTGAATTGTCGGCATATGTTGCAAATGTATTTTCATAAACAGTACAAAATTGAAGAGACTCATGTTTAGATATTTTTTAATCACTAAGAAAACATGCCTTCTGCAAAATACGTGTTCTGGGCCTTTTTGAAATCAGTGGGATTTTGTCAGTGGCTTTACTAGTGTCTAGAGTTGCTACAGTCCTCCTATTTGTGATTAACTGAAGTCAGCAAATAAGTCTGGAACATTCTCATAACAATGAAAGCTTAGATATGTTATTCAGTAAAAATAATTAAATTGCTGTTATAAGTCACTTTAATCTTTAATTGAGTTGGAATTTTTCATACTCTGAGGCAGACTCAAAATTTTTTCAAGATTCTCAAGACAGACTGAGAACAAGAACTCTGTACACCACACAAACTGTAGGAGAGGTTTTAGAAAAGTAGCAACGCTTAGCATGTCTACTTTTGGATCTCTTCCACAGTGACAAAGTATTTTAGAATTTTAGATACTGTACAATAAAATATCTACTTTTGCTGAAACAATGCTGATGTCTTTTTAAAAGGTGCAATGTAAACAATATTTTTATGAGGCCAGTTCCAAAAGACTGACCTCCCATACTCACATTTTTATCTGTAGGCTCTTTTAAATTGGTACAGTAGGTCAAAATGGAAGACATAACTACTTGGCTTTTAGATTTTTACTTTTCCATAACAGGTATCAGATGGACTGATTCAGGAGTCATAGGTGACCTCCACAGACATACATATTAAATAATTCTTTATCTTTATTTTACTCAAAACTTTGAAGCTTTCATGAACTTCAGGAATCTGTCCAGCAGAAACACAACTTTATATCCAGCCAAAAGCAGATCTGAACACTGTCTCAAAATTATTATCACTGAAAACAAGATGTCTATCATGTCATTTTGGTTTAGCTTGCAGGATACAAAAGAGCCCTTTTCATCACTCTGCTGTTACGGACTATTTCTAAAACAACCAGCAGAATGTGTCCAAGAATAAGAATAATGACATCCACTGGATGCTGTTGTCCCACAAACTAATCTAATGCTTACCAATAGACAAGTCATACCCTTCAAACAAATTGCAAACCTCAATACAGATCACAGAAAACTAAGCACTAAAGCATACGTCACTATCTTTTCAAAACCAAAGTTTTACATCAACGATAGGAGTTATTTCCAATATTTTCACATTTTAATTCACTGTTTCAAATATCTCTCCTCTATATTCTTTTCTTCTGTGCCCCTTTTATCATTATTAAAATATTAATATGATTTACTGCATTGCCATCCTTAATATCTTTTAATCAGAACTGTTTCACTTCCTAGTTCTATTATCTGTGTTCTCCTTTTGCTTTTCTGCTTTCCCTTCAGGATTTTCAGCTCTGTATTGTACACACTGTAGATTAAACTAGACTTAAAAAAGACTTATTAACAGCTATGGATGTGTAGCCACACTATTCATTCTCTTTACATGCATTCACACCCTCCAGCTCTCCTTTTGCTCCCGCTGTCCCTTTTGCTATCCAAATCTTTTCCTTTTTACTGTCTTTTCTACTGGTTTCCCCATCTATTTATTACCCTTTCCAACTTAAAGAAGGATGAGTTCCATCTTAAATCTTCCTCTTTTCCCAGATTACTCAGTTATCATGTGATTCGCATGCCAGTTCTCCCATCATGTTACTCAGCCTTCCCTCTGTAAGGCGTCTCTCCCTCTCTAACAACAACCTATACGTTGGGTTTTTTTCCTCCTGGCAATGATTTCAGTAGTCTGCTAGTGTTTGTGGTGCCATCTGGGAAAACATATTCTGATAAACAGGACTAGCATAAGCAGACTGTCTCTATCCACTGAAGTCTTACTCTGCTGGATGCCAGCAGCTATATATTTCTAATGTTAGAGTTTCTTTACAGAAGTCTATAGCAAATGAACAGACAGTTGCTCTCTATTCTTCTTCAAATTCAATTCATTGATTTCAGCACACGAAATGTACGGGGCAAATGTTTTGTGCTCTGAATCAAGTACTCACATAATGATGCCAATTAAACGAGGACCCTCCACTGTCATTTTCACGTGCTCTGTGAAGTCCAGATTTTCAGCAAGTTCATTATTTCAGATCAGCTTATTATCAAATCCTTTTCAAGAACACAAAACTGCCAGGGCATACAGTTTTATACACATTTTTATGCAGTTAGGATTCTAATTGACACAAAGAGATTTTTAAGTCAGTCACAATAGTAGGGACGCAACACATCTGTAACTATGACACTAAAACTCAGTTTTCCTTTCTGCAGCTGGATCTATATTTAATCCTTCTGAGGTAATAAGCAATCTACATGATTACTCAACCTCATCTGAAACAGTTATCAGAAGCAAAGTAAATGGATTTAAACATTTAAAAAGTTCCAGGCCACAACTTCTAGAAGAACAAATGAGATTTAAAACACCACAAAACATTTGAAACAAAACTGGTACTTTAGCAGCTACTTTAGGTACTTTAGTATTTCATTTAGATCTAGTGAAAAGTACTCTGATGAGCAACAGATTTCCATTGAACAGCACTGTTTCAATAACACTGAAACTTTCTGAGGTAAGACTTTTTTCTAAACTATCAAACTAATTTCTGAAAAAATTACATTGAATCACTTTGTTATTGACTGTATTTAGATAAGGCCAAACAGCATAGTAAGAACATGAAGCCCTTGAGCCTCACCAAATATATTTCAATACTGCGCACATCAGAATATTGTGCTGCAAAAGGAAAAAAAAAATCTAAGTATCAGGCCTGAGGCAATGGCCAGTTTTCCCTCCACTCTTGTTTGCTAGTTTAGATACACAGTATTTACATATTCTAACCCCCTAGACCAAAAGCAGCGGTTTTTGGTATATATCCCACACTGTGCTAGCATAATTGTATGTGAAAGTCTCTATTGCATTATTTAAACAAAGCATGAATGGCTTCTAAAACTAAGAAGGAAGACTAACTATGAACAAACTTCAGACATAAGACTTCTCCCTTAGAATATTAATTTTTTTTCTTGCCTATCCCCAAAGTTTTGAGGCACAGAAGATGCAAACTCTCAGCACGTTGACGTGCCAACACAATGCTGTTTTAGTTCAGGAATTCAAAGTGGAACTAGAAGAAGTTAACAAACAATTTGGAAATCCAGTTGAAAAGAAATAAACAGTGATAGCTCCTTTCTATAAACAGATATTCAATATTAGCAGTTATTGTGAGGGTTTTTTAATTTTATTTATGCTATTTCATAACAACAGAATCAGACCAAATTCCTGGATACAAAACAGGCTGTGAGAAAAATGGCTTTCTAAAATTAATTCAATACATTCCTGTTTCCAAGAACAGTAAATAAATGACTGAGTACCTAGTCCTCCAGCATGTGCATCAATGAGAGATGCTGCTACTGCAATGCCTTTGGGGAGACCAAGATCTTTTGCAGCTTCTGGCGTTAGACCTTTTCCAACAGACTCTCCAGGAGACAAGACGTGGTTTCCTGGGCAGACACAAGAAAAAACAAACACCTGTCAATTTACTAAACAGAAAAACAAATGTGTATTTTTTTACAAGAACTCCCTTCCTCTCCCTCAAATTAGTGTGGGGTATATATAAAAAAAAAAAAGGTGCATCAAAGAACTCTATCTGATTAAGAAGTATCTTTCATTATCTGTATGTATATTAAACATAACCATGCTAGACCAGGCTGTCCCATAGCAATTTAGAAGTTCAAAAGTATTCAATGTTCTGTCTAGCCACAGAGAAAGATTTCACCACAAGCAATTAAATTCTGCTTGGCATTTTTCCAAGAGATATGAAATACTTATGCAGAAATCCTAAGTTCTTGCGGTAGTTACTGATGAGGCTGCCTGCAGCCACTCTCTGCATGTGAACAAGCTTCAGCTCAGCCCATGCTCACAACTGAAAACTGCACCTGTTGCACAAGGCAGGGGCCAATTTTTTGTTCCATTTCCATCCTTTCCAGGAGTTTCTACTAGGAATAAGGTGGCTATAGCAACAGAACCTCTGAAAAAGAGACTGGTTTAAGCAGCAAATTCCTCCTACTGCAGCTGTATTTCCTCACAGACTTAAATGATCCTTTTCTGAGTCTTCCCTGGCCTTATGAAGTATGAAGATTCATGTCACCCCAAACACAAGCAATGCAACCCTTCCTTCTCAGTCCTGTCACCAGGGAGCCTGGTGGCAGGTCCCGTCTGCATTCGTCTCTACTCCCATAATGCACATTAAGTTTTGTCTTGCAAAAAGAGATTGTTTCAATAATTAAATCACATTGATAGAGATAGCTCAGAGCTTAGATGAACAAATCTAGATTCATTAAACTTTCAGAATTTAAGGACACCATCTCTGATAGTCTCCCCTCTGGCTGCTGAGTTTAACCCCAGCCAAAGCAATGAGACTGATAGCTCCTGGAACCACACACGCTTCCCTGTTTAGCTAAAGATTTGGTGGGTGAGAGGCAGTGAAAAGCACAGGGGGAGCTCCCATACACCTCCCTGCCAATACCATGGCTTTTAGCATGTGTCTGTAGCGTTTACTAAATTCAACTAATCTGGGCAGAGTTGACAAAACTCCTTTTTAACATAAAACAAGCCTATTTTCACAGTCAATTCTATTGCACATGTTACACCTAAGCATGCTCTGGTGCGTAGAAAGGAAGTAAAACGTCCTCCACACCAGAGATTAATTAAGAGGACTAGTGTATCATAAAATTTTTTTTTATGCCCATGAGCATAATCTTCTAGAAATGCAGTTATACTACCTTTCTGTTAGATGAAAAGAAGGTCATTATATTAAATTCACAGATAGAATATGGGTATTTAATTTTACATATCACTTCGATCTTTGTTTTTGCTGTGAATAATGTTGGTTCTTCACTTTAAGGAAGGTGCCCATTTCCTGACAGATGCAAGGGATGGAGCACTTTGTGATTAGTGAGCACACACAACTTGCATTTCTCCAAGAGTTTCTATTCTATTGACAGCCACACCTCTGCCTCTGAAATGCTAGGCTGAATCACATACTGGAAATTTAAAACAAGTATGTATAGTCAAAACTTCTGCACTCGATTTTGTGTTTATATTCAAATATTGGGGGCAGTAACCAAACCTCACCATCGAGCTTACACAGAAGGAAATGATGACATTAAACTATCTCCTCAGAGGAAAAAAAAAGTCTAGATTTTACTAATTCTTAGTGTGAAGTCAAAACATTGTGTTAGCTGTTTCAAGAGGTGCTTCTTTTGCATTTCTTCCTCAGTTAGCTGGAGATCTCTTTAAGAGAATTTTTCTATTACCTTTCTGTTTTTTTAAGATGTTGGAGAATAATATCAGTAAAACAAAGTTGTCTGCTTCTCCTGACATTCAAAGACCCCGCAGGTGGAAGGAAGTTAAAAAAAGTTCATGCAGCTAAAACCACATCTTTTTCTTCAGAATCAGTTGCCTGACCTGAAAGCATACAAGTATCCTGTATATACAGCTTGAGATGAAATGAATCTGAAATAAAACCTCTTTCCAGGCACGCGATTCCATGGTTGGCTTGTTTATATCAGTCATACTGGTCAAACATTTTAGTGTGTAATTATTATGTGGTTAAACTCCATTTTAGAGATCAGGGCTACTATTAGACAAAATCTTTTGCTACCAGCTTCTCAATTACTGTATTTCTAGTTAATGAACAGTAAGGGAACAATTTCAGAGATAAAGATAATCCTCTCTTCTGCAGCAGCAGCAGAAAATGACCCTATAGATTCCTTTGGTACTAGTTATATATCAACGACCAGCAGCATTGCTATCCCCTATGGGCATAAAGCATGTGAGAACATGCAGGGATGGGCTTCTTGTGATCTGAAGATGCAGCATAATAATCTTGTATTTAAAAAAAAATGAATTAACAGCAGAGTATGCCCCATCTGTTTTAGGAGTCAAGGTAAACCTGAACAATTACTCCTTGACTGAAATCACTTCCCACAAGAAGAAGAGACAGCAGTCAGAAGTCACCCACGACGGGGATTGCGAAGGGGAGTCTCCTAGTCACCCAACGGTCAGGGAGTGCAGAAAAGAGGTGTCAGCAAGCAAGTGCAGCAAGGAGAGAATACTGAGTCTGCCCCTCTGCTTCACCCTCCCAGCTTTAGCAATCAATGAAAGCTCTGCTACACCCATACAAGATGTTCATGAGGAGCTTTGTAAAAGGGGAGAAGCAGGCTCTGCATGGCCTCTCTCTCTTTCATCGTGGAAGTTGCCTCCCCACCCACACAAGTGTGAGTAAGTAGGTGTGGAATGGGCAGAGCCTTGACTGAACCCCATGGGTAGAGACCTGGAAAGAAAATTGGAATTCTCATGGTTTACTCTTCACTGAAAAACTAGAAAACTCAACTAAGCATCAGTATGCTTAGAATCTGTAGGTATAAAGCTATTAAATGATAAAATAAAACCCACAAAAAGTAACCAAAGAGGGGCCACAATTAAAATGTAAAGCATTTGAAACGGATTGTACTCCAGTACTAGACTGGGAGACAGTGAACAGATTCTTACTTGAGCAAAACACAGTGGCTTTAAAACTCAAGGGACAGCTACTATAAAAATAAAGGTACTCTACAGCTACACACCAGCATTCAACAGCAGGTGCTGCCACCCTTAAATCCTACCTGTCAGGGAAAAGAAGCTGTCAGGGAGAGAGGAAGGGAAATGAGAGCCGTCTGCACGCAGAGGCAGGCAGTGAGAGTATTACAGAAGGCTGCATAAAAGCGGCAGTGAAAGGACCGAGTCTTCGCAAGGCTCCTGCCAAAGTAAATGTATCGAGTCTTTTGTTTACAGTAGTCTCCTGTGCAAGTCATTTACCTTTGCTATAATGACTTCCAAAATTAGACCTAACCAAACAAACCCATAATGGCTGAGGCTGGAGAACTTTCTGTTTCACATTCATACAGCTGTTTCACTAATGCAGTGCCTTAATCCACAACCTTTTCATTTCGTACGAGACAGACTATTTCTAGCTATTTTTTCCCCTATAAAGCAGCGAGTTTACAAAAGGAAAAAGCTGTCTGAATCTCTTCCTCCTCTTTCATCCTTCTTCGAAGACTAATGTTAGAATTTGCTATGATCAGGTTTTGTTTAAAGAATTTATGTGGTACCAAGGACCCTCTACCATTTTAGGCGGTTACCACAGCAACCAGTTATTTACCAGACGCAACACACAAGGCAGACAATACATCTTCAGTCAACTTTAGTAATCAAAATTCACTGTACTGGCTTACTAATATTTAACAGAATTAGGTACTTTAGGAGTAGACCTTTTTAAAAACAACAAAAGCAGAGTGCAGCAGGGGGCCCAGCTGACTCAACTATGACATACTCACTGAGAAAAGCTTTTCATCTATCATGCAGAACGTGGCTGCATTTCATGTGCGCTTCTATCTGGCTCTGCAAGCACATAAAAATACAAAGGGAAGAAAATCAAAAAGAGACGTCCCTTTCCTTCACTAACTTGACACAAGCAAACTTGAATTTGGATATATCAATCCCTTGCTGAAATCCCAGCAACCTCAGAAAGGAACCCAACCAAAGGGTACATCCTGTCCCCATTTTATAGCCTCCCCCAAACTGGACAATCTAAATGCTTGTTAATTTAAAAGACAATACACAAACCAGATATGCTGTTAAATAAGTGATATATAACATGCATTGAAGAAGCTTTCTGGTTAAACAGAACGGTACTAAATAACCATCAAAGGAAACAGAACCTCAGTAAGAAGTACCATCCATCCAAATGGATCTCATAATAAGCAATGTAAGGGATTTTCTCCCTCGACTGTAGACAATCTCCAATTTTTGTGTTTTACAATCATCCACACAATGCCAGAAGTCTGGGATTTACAAGGAATCTGAATAAATAATATTATAACTCTTCTGATACCTTGTCCCAACCCTATCTCACATACAATACATTACCAATTACCCCTCTCAATTACATATAATACTCCTATTTAACTGAGATATGTTTGGCTGATTGTTCTGCAATTTTTAACCCAGCTGATTAGCAAAACTAGTACTAAGATCAGAAGGAAGCAGGATAACGGTGAGGACTATAAAAAAAAAAAAGTAATTTTTTTTTTTGACTGAATGCATGGTGGTTAAAGGGTGTTAGAAAGGGTGTTAGAAACAATCAGATTTAGGGCTTTTTTAAACATGGAAATACCCTCCACAAAATTTCCTAGTTGGCAGTTAAAAACTCCAGAATTTTCATTCAGGAAAACCAAAACAAATTGTGATATTATAGGCCAGCTTATTTAAAAGTGAGAAAACCAGTTCATTGAACAAAATCACTTTGGCTTTCTTCAGTTCAAAATTCGTCTCTATGGGAGCTGTCACAGTAGCTTGAGGCAAATCTAATTGAGGTCCTTTCCATCCCGCTCTCCCATACAGCTTATGCCTTTGGCTGAACTACATCTCAACTACCTAGCACGTAATTACTTAAGGCAGA